AATATGTTGTATAGTTTTTCATTACTATGAAGAACTCCCATAGTATTCTGTTATCCTTTTAATTTCAGTTAGTTCTGTTTTAATATCATCCATTTAATTTCTTATTTGTGTCATTTCCATCTTATTTCCATATATATATGTGTATATATGTGTATATATATACACACACACATACATACACACACACACCCACACACACACAGACACACACATATATAGTTGTTGTTATATGCCGTCACCTGCGACTTATAGCGACCCTCTGTATAACAGCCCTAAACTCTGTCCTATCCTGTGCCAATCTCACTATCCCTGACACACCTACCCCTATTGCCCCAGTGACTGAATCAACCCATCTCATCAAGGGTCTTCCTCTCCTGTGCTGTCCCTCCACCCTCCCAAGCATGATATCCCTCTCCAAGGACTGATCCCTCCTTGCAACATGTCCAAAGTAATTTCTTACTATTCATTTTTTTTTCCAAATTTTACTCTGGCTTACCATCAAAGTTCATATACATTGCTCCTCACACCGGATTCCACCCCCCCACCTCCCCAACCCATGCCCTTCACCCATCAAAATGTGCGACCAATGGTTACTGCCCCCCATCCCCATCCCTCTGCTTCCCTCCTCCCTCATTTCGATCAGTTTGAAGGAGATAGGGGAAAGGTTTATGCTGTTAAGAAAGAAGTGTTCCCTTACAACAGGGCATTCTCAGGCTTTCTCTCTCTCATTGCTGATGAATCAGAATCAACTTATTGCTGATTTCCCAGTGGGTTTTCAGAGACTGTAAATTGCATCTGGTGAAGGTATTGTCCATCTTTCTCTAGCTGAGCAACTGGTGGATTTGAACTGCTTGCCTTTGTGTTGATAGCACACTTCCTTATCATTAACCATCACAGCTGTCCTATGGGAGGGAAAATTTGATCACAGAATCCCCAGCACTCCCTACAGAGGGCGCTCAATGGAGGGATGAGAGCCACGAATGTGTAATCTGAGGGTCAGTAACTTCACTAGATGTTTTTCTGTGAGGTGGATGCTGTTGGTTCATTTTACAGGTGAGATAACTGAGATGCAGAGAAGAGATGAGGGATCACATAGCTTCCAGAGTAGAAGAATTTATAATGGCAGAAAATATTGAGATTTATATGCATGCCTGGAAGAGCTGTATGTTTCTAGAAATCTTGCTGCTATACCCAGAAGAGCTGAACATTTTTGGAAACCTTGCCCATCCTCCTGAAAGAGCTGAAGATGTCTTGGTTTTCCAGGGCACAGTTAGTCTGCCAGCTCTGAACCCGGAGTGTGGTCTCATTAGCATTCAGAGGGGGAAGTAACCATAGGGGACACCATCCAGGGCATTAGGAGGAGACAGGCTGTGTTTTAATTACGACCTGGACTTTTGAACAAATCCTTTTCTCTGCTTGTCTGAGCCTTAGAGAAAACAAGTTGTGGGAGGTGTGTAGTTGACAGCTGGGTCCACAGTGGTACCAGTACAGCTGTGTACACATCTGGCACACAGGTGGTGGATGGCGTGCACTTTTTTTTCTCTCCTTGAATTGCTCTGAGGTTAGTGAGGGAACAACCAAGGTGGGAAGGTGAGTCTGACCTGAACAGAACTCAGAGAGGAAAGGCTGGCAGGGAGAATGAAGAAGAATAGAACCGTGGTCTTCTCTCTGGCCTGGAATTCCCACTAACCATGAACATTTCAGTGCTTAAGCCCAAGCATCTCCCACCACTTCCTCCAGCCACTCCTGGGTCAACATGGCGGGCTTCTTTGTTGAGCTCACTCCAACCCTCCCTTTTTCAGAAAAGGGGGGGGGCTTTTTTTTTTTTTAGTGGGGGAAGAAATTAAGAAGGGAGCAGAAAGAGGAGGAGATTAACAGGGTCAAAGTTAGATAAGCACAGATGCTACCACCTGCTGCTGCAGATTCTCAAGTGCTTGTTGACTCCCTGGGAGAGTTTGTCTTGAGTCTGTTTAACAGTTCATTCCAGGGGAAGGGGAGGAGAAAGAGGGCTTGGGGACAAAGGGCCTTTGACCGGCGCTTGGAGGAGCATTGATTAGTTTGCTCAGGTTGGCAAACAGTGACTAGGAACCAGGGCCCAGGGATGAACTGGGTAGATTTTCTGCCAAATGCACAGCATCTAGCATGGAGGGGAAATGGAGGGGCCAGTAAAGGCAAATACTCAAAAGACTGGTGTGCCGCGGGGTTCAGAGATGTAGAGGGAAACGACTCTGGGAAGTTAGAGGACAGGAAAGGGCAGAGGAAGGGCCTGTGGAATCTAAGGTGCTTTTATTTTGGCTGTGGTGTACCTTGCTGTGGTGAAAGAGACATATAAGTCATGGTATCCTATCCCGTCCCCCGTTGCCTCCCCCCTCCCGTGAGGGGCAGGGCACCTGAAGCCTCAGGATTCCTGGGCAGGGAGGTTGGTGGAGAAAGTCTGCAGGGAGGGAGACAGAGTTTGCAATTTCAACCTCACACTCCCGGGCTGGCCTCTGTCCTGGGAAGTTGGTGCCTAGTGGATTCCTAAGGCAGTTTTATTCTCTTCTCCAAGCTTTTGCTTCCTTCGCTCCGAAAGCTTGAATGGTCACTGTCTTCTTGTAAAACCTCAGTAGGATTCCCTCCTTTGCTTCTTCATCCATCCATCCATCCTCAGTAACCTTCCTTCTTTTCAGGAAACATCCCTGATAAACACTGTATAAATATGTAGACTTAGAGTCATGAACTAGCTCTGTTTTAGACCCGGGAAGTTATTAAATATTATAGACCACAGTTTTATACCATCCTATCGTGTGTTCATATGACATTGTTTTTAAGGTCCACCTGCCTTATTTCCTAAAAGATGTTAGTCATTCCTGTGTGAGTTTGTTTGCTGTTGTTCCCCCGGTATATGAACTCCATGAGGTCACAGACAGCTCGTGTGTCCTCCTGGCACTGCAAGGGTGCCTGTCACTTACACATTCAATAGAGATAGATTTGCTTTCAAGTTGCAGAGCTGACTCATAGTTGACCCTCCAGGGGGCTTTCAAGGGCTGAAAATTGCATGGGAAGAGATTGCCCTTCTTGTGCATTTGGAGCTGCTGGTGGATTTGAATCATGAGAGAAGCCCAGCCTTTGGGTTAGCAGCACAACTCCTCTAACTCCTCTACCCACTTGGTCATTAGAGCTCCAGTTCCCCAACCCCCCTTTTTTTCTGAGAGAGAATAGTGCAGACAATTAAAGTGTTCAGCTGCCAAGTGAAACATCAGAGGTTCGAGTCCACCCAGATGCAACTTGGGAAAAAAAGTCTGATGATCTACTTCGGGAAAAAAAAAATCAGCTGTGGAAAACCTTATGAAGCACAGTTCTATTCTGATAGCCATTGTGGTTCCCGTGAGGGGGGAAGGGTACTGAATACACTTGTTTAAGAACAGAAATGCTGTCAGGGTAGTGATATTTTCCCATCATTCTTGTGAAGACACAGAGTTAAGTATGGTGTGTTTTAGGATGCACTGTGGATTCCTCTGACTAAAGAAAAGGGGAAAAAACGAGTAAAGGTGTAGGCATGTAGAAAACCCTGCGGGGCCATTTCTCTCTGTCACGTAGTGCCACTGCGCATCAGAATCAACTCAGCATCACACAGCAATAGAAATAACCGCAATGACATATATGAATAAGCTTTTGAGATAGTATTGATCACATTTAGGCCATCAGAGTGGGCATTCTATATGAAATAAAATGATACCCATGTTTTCTTCATGCCTGCCAAGTTGGGGCTCGTTAGCAGAGTAAGGCAGCATCCGCTACCTGAATCTCCGCTGTGCTCACATCCTGTTTGCCTTTGTGCCTGGAGGATGGAGAGGGGTGCAGTCCCAGGAGCTTGCTCCAGCGATCCTGTGCATCCTTCTCCTCTGCCTCCTTCCGTCTGGCCTTTCCACGTCTAGTGACTTCTCTGCTATATCTGTGTCTGAGTGCCAGCGGCCTTGAAAAGAGCAACTCTGTTCAATTCCCCCAGTTTCTTTATTTTTATTATAGTTTGACTGGAAGTGTGCCTCTAGTTTGACCAAGATTTATTGCACACAGACTAAAATACAGATATCCAATGCTGTGTAGTGACAGTTCTCTCCTGACAGTGGCAGGTTGGATAGTCTGCTCATCTGCACTCCTCCACAACCTCCTAGTGATGCCACTAGGGAACCTTTTGCTGTAGACCACCTGAGTGATAGCCAGGGCATTAGGACAGAAGCCCGTCCTACCCCTACCCCTCCCTGTTCTTTCCTTATGCTTTTAATGGAGTGACTCATTGGACAGATTTCCATTTAGACTCTTAAAGAAATAGATAAATAGATAAATAGATAGCTGGATAGATAGATAGATAGATAGATAGATAGATAGATAGATAGATAGATAGATAGATAGATAGAGGCAGGCAGACAGATAATTTGCCCTCAAGTTGACTTGAGCTGCTGGCTACCTTATTTACAGGGCAAAAGAATTTTACTCAATCCTGTCCCATATTTACCATCACCAGTATATTTTAGTCCTTTGGTGCAGCTGTTGTGTTATTTCATCTTAACAAGGGTCTCCCAGGTCCTCGGTGACTCTCTGATTCACCAAACATGATTTTCCTCTGTTGACTGATCTCTATTGATGTGTCTAAAGAAGTAAGCTGTATAAGGTTCTGCTGTGATCTGTAAGACTCACCCTGGCTATGTTTTGGACAGAGATGGCCAGGCCTTTCGTTCTAGCCCGTTAGACGCTCTACTGAAGCTCATCTACTCTGAGTGATCTTGTTGGTGTTTAAAATGACTTTGGCATAACTCCCAACATCACAGTAACATGCAAAGCCACCACCCTACAACAAACTGAAGGGCAGATGCTGGAATAAATGGTTTGGATTGAAAAGACATTCCGTTCCAAGCATTCTTATATCAATGCTTGATGTTCCTTTTGTTGGTGGCTTTCAAGTGACAATTTCGAAGCTAGACCTCATTCATAGTCTGTGTTCTTCCTTTCTCCCCTGCCAGGCTGTTTGCTGTCAAATGTGGGGGCTGCTTCGAAGCCATTGCACCCAACGAGTTTGTCATGCGGGCCCAGAAGAGTGTGTACCACCTGAGCTGCTTCTGCTGCTGTGTGTGTGAGCGGCAGCTGCAGAAGGGCGATGAGTTTGTCCTGAAAGAAGGACAGCTGCTCTGCAAAGGGGACTATGAGAAGGAGCGGGAGCTGCTCAGCCTGGTGAGCCCAGCAGCCTCAGACTCAGGTGAGTGCCTGCAGTGGACTGGGCTGTGGTGGTGGTGGTGGCCTAGCTCAGTGGGTGCGGTGGTCTGCTCTGTGTCTTCCCCGTGGGGCTTGCCAGTGCAGCCCAGCTCCTTGGCGAGACAGTTCTGTGTATTTCAGGAGCTTTATTTATTTATAACTTAGAGTACTCTCTTCATAGTCAGCAATGGCCTGGTAACAAATCACCCCAGAGTTCCATGTCATGCAAGCGCGTAGCTACTTATTCACACATTCACAAGTGTGAGGAATAATTGCTTCACGTTAAAGATCTTCAAGTCAACTAGGGTTGCCTGATCTCAGCTGAACTGAGCTCTAGGCTTTGGGCCAAGTTAAAGACTCCTCGGCGTGATTCATTCTGACATCCAGGTTGAAACAACAGCAGCCACATGGTATGATCTTCTAAAGAGAAGGCAGAAATGCAAGGAGGCAATCATGAATGCACATTTAATATCTCTTTCACTTCATGACTGCAAATACCTCATTGGCCAAGCAAAATAGATTTACATGGAGAAACTCAAAGGGCAGAGACACTGGCAAGGTGTAGACCTATACTAATATTGATGGGGCCTGAAGAATCAGAACCAACCATTCAATCTACAGTCGTCACTTTACTACTATAAGCCTTTGTTTCCTTATCTGTCAAACTGGGAAAGATGCAATTTAGACAAGGCTTAAAAAAGTCACATAAAGAAAGGAACCAGAGTACTTTTGTCCCTCCTTGTCATTACCTACCAAAACATCACTCTTCATTGCCTTGTTTCTCTCTGCCTTGTTTTCCCTCCCCTGTCCTTCAAGGGAGGAGAAAGAGAGGAGAGCTTCAGTAGAGCGTCCAGCAGACTAGAAAGAAAGGCCTGGATTTCATAAGGCAGGTTTTGCTGTAGGATAAATGAAATTGTTATTGTTGTTGATTGTCTTTGAGTCGAGCATGACTTGTAGAGACCCTATGAACAAAAGGCCTGAAGCCCCTCTACAACTATCAACATTTATCAAAGTTAATAGTTTCTGGAGGTATGTTGTTTAGGAAGTGGATGCCACTCCTACTCCAAATCTGTCATAGTATGTTATTGGTCGTTGAGTCACCTGCGATGCATAGCGACCCTATGTATGGCAGTTCTGAACCCTTCCCTTCCCTGGGCCAGTCTCACTAGTTCTGACACACCAACCCCCATTGCTTCAGTTACTGTATCAAGCCATCTCATCTGGGGTCTCCTTCTCCTGCACTGTCGGTTCACCCTTCTAGACATGATGTCCTTCTCCAAGGACTGATCTCTCCTGTCCACGTGCCCAGAGTAAGTGAGGCAGAACGTCAAAATCCTAGCCTCCAAGAAGAGACTTGGTTTCACCCTTTTCGAAACAGACCTATTTGTTTTCTTGGCAGTCCATGATAATGTTCAAGATTCTTCTCCAGCACCACAACTCGAAGGCATTGATTCTTCTTCTGTCATCCTTAGTCATTGTCCAACTCTTTGAAGCATAGCAAATAATTGGGAAGACCATGGCCTGGATTAGGTGCGCCTTTGTATCTAGACTGAAATGAAATTAGTACTGCCCTGATTCAACATGGACTACCATTCCTTTATCTTAGTCCTCACAGAAGGAACCCTGGTGGGAGCATACCTTCTATGTTGGGCTGCTAACAGAAAGGTCTGTGATTTCAGTCTACTACCCCTACTCAGTGAGAGAAAGATAGGAAGTCTCTTCCTGTGCAGATATACAGCCTTGGAAACCCCACGGAAGGTGACCATGAGCCAGAATCGACTTGTTGGCAGTGGAGTTTTGCTTTTGGTTCTCTTTTTAGCCCAACATGGCAATGTTTTCTTAACTTTGTCTCCTTTCGGTCCCCAGAAAGCTCTGAGGTACAATGAACTATGATCTCCAAATTCACTTTGATAATTTTGCATTTTGGGGGAGCCTGTATGCAGCCTTGAGGAAATTCACATGAAGATAATCTCAACTTCTTCTCTTGAGCTCATTGGTCTTAGTTTTTCCTAGATTAATTTCCATTTTAAGGAAGTTTCTTCTTTCCAGGAGCAACATCTCCTGTGACGGTATTGACTATCTCCTGTGGTTGTTGACCCCATTCTAAACTGAGCTTCATGGACTCTATTTGGTATATGAAGGTCGTCTTAGGCTGTTATTTCACTTCAGGTGTTTTTCTCTGCCAACCAAAGCCTTCTTTCTGGGCATATGACAAGCATTTTCAAATTGAAAGGATTTAGTTGCTATGTTGAATGTCAGTATGACCTTAAAAAAATGAAGGCCCTCCCAGATAAACGCTGTGATCTAGGCTTTCTTGGTCCACCATTGTGTGGGGCTTGATTGTGAAGTAATAAAGTGCTCCCTTTGTTAAAGACTTATGAGGTTTAATTGGTTACACATTCAACAGGGGACACTAGTATACTGTTATTATAACTAGCCTCTCACCCACTGCCAGAAAGAAAAACAAAGCTGGATCTAAAGAACATTGGTAACAGTATAATGTCCAGAGGAAAGTACCTGAAAAGTCCTTGTTTGTTGACCATATTTTTAGTAATATGCTCAATCCTGGATAATTCTTTTTGAGACTGGTATTAACCAACTGAATCTGTATAGTTTCCTCATTCTTTTTTTTTTAACTTCCACATTGTAGTTCTATTTTTTCTTTTTTTATGGGTTTTCTTTTAATTTTTTATTATTAATTTTAATGAAAGTTTACAGAGATTTTGGGTTTCTATTCATTCATTCATTGTTGCACTTTTCTCCCTGCCCAGCCCTCCCCACTAGTTCGCTCTTCTCTTTGAAAAGTAAAAGAAAAATTCTTTCATTGTTATACAGTCCCTCCCTCTTAAGTCCACTCCACTACGCAGCCTTCGTTCTGGACTCCTGTCATGGCAATAATACCTAATCATATATCCCTTTTAAACAGTTCCCTCCCTCAACTGTTTCAATGCAGTATACATAATTTATCACATCTTTCTCAGTCTTCCCCCAATCCCAATGTCAGTCCCGTTTTACAACAGTGGCACTATGCAGTATTTATCCTTTTGTGACTGAGCTATTTCATTCAGCCTAATGTCCTCCAGGATTAACCATTTTGAATATTGCGTGAGTTACTTGTTTTTCAATGTGGCATAGTATTCAATTGTGTGAATATACCACAGCTTCTCTATCCATTTGTTTGTTGACAGGCACTTGGGTTGTTTCCAACTCTTTCCTATTGTGAACAAAGACTCAATAAACATTGGTGTGCATATATCTGCTTGGGTGGCAGTTATGGTTTTGGGGGTATATACCCAGTAGTGGAATTACTGGGTCAAATGCTATTTCTATTTGCAACTTTTTGAGAAAGCACCATACAGCCTTTCATAGTGGTTGTACCATTTTACACTCCCACCAACAGTGAATAAGGGTTCCAGTTTTTTTATAACCTCACCAGCATTTACTGTTTGCTGTTCTGTTAAAATTTGGTATTCTTACTGGGTTGAGATGATATCTCATAGTTGTTTTGAGTTTCCTCACTCTTGTATTTATTCTGTAGACATATCTTGAATGTTTGCTTTACATCAAATATAGAGCCTTGATATGAAAGACAAAAGAGTGTGAGGAGATCCATAACCATGCTAAATGAAGGAATCAGAGAGATGTTTGTCTAGGAAAAGGAACACTAAATAACAATACAAATAGCCCGTTTGGATCTGACCACTTCTCCAAATTTCAGAAGGCAGAATTTAAATTTGTTTATTCAATTATTCCATAAAATCACTGAGTGACACATACTGATGTGTCAAATGCAATAATGGTTACCCATGGTGGACAGTATTTGGTGGAGCTTCCTGATTAAAACAAGTTTGGAAGCAGGAGTGGCATCCACTTCTGAAATGGCTTGCCTCTGGACACCCTTTTGATCATAGGGTCACTAAGAATCACCTACTACTTAATGGCACTTAACAATAACAAAAATACTTGTACTATAGATAGAAAGGCATAGGGGCACAGTTTTGAGTTAACATGGAGAATGGTAGAATGCCAGAGTAATCATTAGCTCTAATAAAGAGTGAAATTACTGAGATACATACCCTAAACTCTCACTTGTTGGAGCTAATACTGGTGGGGTGGGATGCTAGAAGACTTCTGTTGTACTTTTCAGGTCCAAGAATGTTTTTTTGAGCTTTAAATAAAGTGACATTAAAGTCTCAACCAAAATCATACATATTGAAATACATAGTTTATAGCACTCATTTCTACAAATGCTGCCTGTACTGAGACGTAATGTTTTGTATATCAAGGTTTAGTTCTCTAATGAGTAGATTGACTTCTAGATACTAAAGGCCTGACTTTCAATGTTCCTGTTGTTGTTTTTTTTATCACTACTTAGCATGTTGCTGATAGAAGAGCCAAGTAATTTATAAGTACCTAATGAGCTTAATCAAATCTCTAAAGAAAGAAGTACATAACATATTAAAGGTTCATAAAAAGCAAAGTTTTAGCTCTATCCTATTACAGATATAATTTCTCTTCTCATTCTGTTCTGAGTTCTTACCCTATTGTAGACACTTGATAAATATTTGTTGAGTGAATGATTGAATGAACTGTCTGTCATCTTTAATGTTTTTATCGATAACTTAGATGAATATAGAGGAGATGGATTTATTTGATTGGCAGATGCCACAAACATGGCAGGAAACACTGGATTGGCAGCTAATAGTCTCAAGGTTCAGAAAGTAAGTAACAAAGTGATAGAACAGTGTAAAGTCATTGAAATGAAATCTAACCAATACACTCTAAAACTCACGTGTAAGAATCTGAAATGAACCATTTTGATGAGATTTTATGTGAGGTTTTTAGTTGACCATAAGGTCAATAGATAGCTAAAGGGTGTTGAAGACGTTAAGACTCAATTATTATTATTTTTTTAATTACTTCTTATATTTGGGAAAGCTGGAATTAGGAAGACCTAAGAAGAACTGAGTAAGCTCTGGTGGCCTAGTTAAGTCTGTATGGAGT